ATTATTATATGATCCTGATAAATCAAGTTCTGAATAACTGATGAATCTTTCAACTATCAAACCCTTTTATGGGGATCTAGTTTTTGAATTTAATTAGTTTATAGAAGTTCATGACTCTTTATCTGATAAATAACAATCAACTCCGAATAATATCTGGAACCTCTAGTGTGTTCTGTGATCGTACAAATATTTTCTTTTATTTTAAAAGTATGTCTCTGTTATCTTAAATAAAATCAGACCTCTGATTTCTGTCCCAAACTTTGATATTTTTTTATATCTGATTTTTATTCTGATCTCTGCTCTGATTTCTGATATCTCCATTTACTGACTGAAATTATTTGTATACGGGGTACTCTGGAACTCTAGTTTGACTGAAGACACTGGCAGGTTCAGTCGTTGTTGGTAATTCCTTGTATAGGTTCAACACCAATTGATAATTCCTTATAGACCTAAGGTGACTCTTGGGTGAGCTCCTAGGCCTAATAGGCCTAGTGGTAATACCTTATAGACCCTAAGGCACTCCCTTAGGGATGACACCACTGCTATGTGCTTTTGGGTAAGACCTTATGGACCTGAGGGCACTCCCCTCAGGTGGGAACCTACGCTTCGGCTAGGGTAAGACCTTATGGACCCAAAATGCTCCCATAGGTTGGCTCCTACGCCCCTTTTGGGCATAGGGTAAGTCCTTATGGATGTAGTTCTGGGTAGGATTTAGAGATCGATTGAAGCTCAAGACTCAAGCTCAATTGAAGCTCGATTTTGAGCTCGATTCAAGCTCGATTGTGAGCTCGATTCAAGCTCGATTGTGAGCTCGATTCAAGCTCGACTTAAGCTCGAGGATGGGTTAATATTCTTTTGTTGAAACCCATCCCCTTTTATACATTCGACTTACCCCTTATTCCCTAAGAACCACCGATGTGGGATATAACTCACATAGGAGTTAGGACAGTGAACCTTGTTTCTGGTTCTGGTTTCAGCTCTTTCACTCGGCCGATTTATCTTTGGACTGTGAACCTGTCTTCCCAAATATTACAACAGCAACATCATACTTTACGGACAATTACATGCCTTTCTCGTTGATATTCAACTTCACCCCTCTGGTGCATAATTAGAATGGCTCTTCTTACATGTCAAACATAACCACCATATTACAAATATGATTGAACCGGATGTACATACAACCCGAAAATTGGCATACTCGAATGAATCAGTTTTTAAGTTAACTACTTACAATTGATTCGTTCATCCCCATTCTAGTAAGATCATCGATCAGCCTTCTTTCTGATATGCGATTTCCAATTCCCAGTATTCTCTTTATATGGTTCTCCGCTTGCTATATATGTATTAAATTTTGTTAACATGTGGAAGATCACAAGAGTAGGAGAACAAGTTCAGCAAAAATGTCTACAAACCTTTATCTCATTGGCCATTTCGGGAGATATGTTAATATGCTGGTTTATTCCAGAACGTGCTGCATCCATGGTGGAAACTTTGAAAAGTCTCAAATTACCAAAGTAGGTTAACTTCCTATTTGAATTTAATTCAAGCATTCACGACCTAACATGACTTTCACGAATTGTCGACTACGTTGCACTCGAATCTGTCTTCCCATAAACATCTGCAATCACAAATTATCAGTTTCTTGACTGAAAATACAAAAAAAATAATCTAGAAATTTACAAAATAAGGAACTACCTTCCCTTGGAAAGCAGATAGTGCTGCATCAGCTTCTTTCTTGGATTTGAAATAGACAAAGGCATAGCCGGATGACTTTCTCGGATTATCATGAAATATAACTTCAGCAGAAACAACATTAGCACCCTCAGAGCCCTCACTTCATATGAAAGATTCGCCATGAACAAGTTGATTTTGTCTCTATTTCTTATTTGTTTTTCCATTTTGTCTGTTCTGTTTGGTTGTTGCTGCCACTGCCATATGGTGGCCGACCGTTTAATGTCACGGCAAGTACAGCCGTAAGTTCGCCGACCCTTGTGGACTACTCTCGGTAGCCCCCTCCGTTGTTTTGTTCGAATATTATATTCGAATGGAACTCACTGCCAGGCCAGTTCTCCGACTCGAACCAGAAAAATATATACATACACATTTCTGTCACTGTAAAATTATTTCCTACATTATGAAGTTTGGTATTTGAATTTGAAATCAAGCATCGTGAATTTTGTAGGAAATTTTGAATTAGGAATCAAGTTACAGCCTCTTCCACTTTACCCACGAACTTCAAATCGACTGTTGCAGCTTGTGTTGACTGTGAGTGTTAATTGTCAAATTTTAGTTGGTTGGTCTTGTCGTTAATTTTAGAATAATTTGTTTATTTAAAATATTTTGTATGTTCTAATTCGGGTCGATCCACTGTTCGAGCTGATCGTAATAAAGGTTATTATCGGTCCTTAACTATTAATGAGGTGTGTCTTTTTAATTGGGGCTACATTATTTTATTTGGTTTCTTATTATTTGTTTGGTTGAAATTGATTTGAAACATGAATGTTATGTAAAATTGATTGCCTTAAATACAATTTGGATAAATATTATATATTCCATGTTGGCTTGTCGGATTTTAATGGATATTGTACATTTAGAATATTTGAATTTTTGGGTGATTTGTCGGATTCAGAATATATGTATATATTTAGAATAAATATTTTGAAATATTTAGCTGAAAATATGTTATATTCGGATCAGATCAGATAATTATGCCATTTTGTATGTCATAACTTAAACCCTAACCCCTAACCCTTAACATATAAACCCTAAACATATAAACCTTAAATCATATCACATAAACTCTAAAACTCTGAACTCTAAATCATAAACTATAAACCTTAAATCATATCACATAAACTCTAAAACTCTAAATTCTAAACTTTAAACCTTTAAATTAAACTCTAACCCTAAACCTTAATACCTAAACCTTAAACTATAAACACTAAACTCTAAACCTTAAATCATATTACATAAACTCTAAACTATAAACCCTAAACCTTAAATCATATCACATAAACTCTAAACTCTAAACCTAAACTCTAAACCCTAAACCTTATCACATAATTTGAAGGAATGAGATGGCTTAGTGAAAGGAGAGAGGGTATACTTGTTTTGATATATATTTTTTAAATTATTAATATTTAAATTGAATCATATTTTTTTATTATATTATATTTATTATTAAATAAAAAATTAGTTATGAGGTAAGTACAATATAGTATCTTGATATTAAATGTTCAAACCCTTGATATTTATGATATTTGAACTTGAAACCTCAAAATATAACAACAATTTAAAAAATTAGTTATTACAAATATTATCATTAGAAATATATTAAATATTTGTCATTAGATAAATAATTTTTTTATTAATTTAAAATAAATATAAGAAAGTTTATTCAAAAATAATTTTTAACCATTTTCAATTTAAGAATATTTATTCATCAATAATATATTTTAATAATGTAATTTTAAAAAAATCTAAAATTATAATATAACATTTTTTTCGAGCTGTTCACGAGCTTTTCGAGTCGAGTATCGAGTAGCTCGTTTTGGCTCGTTAAGATCTCGAGTCGAGTTCGAGCTCGAGTCGAGTCCATTCGATCCGAGTATTTATCGAGCCAAGATCGAGTCAATCTCGAGTAGCTCGCGATCTGTCTCGTCTCATTTACAGCCCTAGTTCTGGGGAACTGCATATCGACGTTCGGTTGGAGTGTTTTACTATGGCTTTTGAAAAATATGTTTTAAACTGTTACTATTTTAAAAAGATATGTACATCTTCACTAGTTATGTGGGAACACACTAGATACCCTGTTCTGATATCCTGAATCTAGTCCTTCAAACGTTTACTCTGAATTATAAGCTTCCTGTCTTTTACTACCTGAGGTATCAACGGGGCCTCAACTTAACATAAAAACATGTATACATTGGAATCAACAATTAAATTTTATGGTTTTCCATTTATGTCCTTCAGCATCAACTGGTAGTTCTGTATACTGAGCTTTCCAAAGCTCACTCTGTTACTCACCTTTCAGGTTAAAACGATTAAAATAGTGCAACTATCGACATCAGTAAAAGAGTTTCACTGACGTTGTTTGCGGAGTATGGTGCATGTGTTTAGGGGGCATGTAACTTGTATTTTGTTTTTATATCTAAGTCTGAAATCTGTTTTATTTCTGAATATTGTAATTTTAATTTTGTATTTATAAATTGATTTATGATTTTAATTGTTTTAACAAAAAATTTAATTTTTCTGAGATTTTTACGGTGGGTCACTCTGATGGCCCTAATGTGACACCCCGATCAATCAGGCCACCCGCATCGGTCTGAGGGCCTTACGCTTCTCGTTCTGATAATTGAAACAGTTAGACCTCGAAAATTATAAATTATATAAATTTAATCATAACTAAACTAAAAAAATTTATAAAAAAAAAATTATGAATTAAAAATTCATAAATTTATAATTTTAGAAATAAATTGTGAATTTCTATAATTTTTTCAAAAAAAATTATACTTATTACTTGGAAATGTTAAAAAATTATCAAAAATTAAAATTTATTTATAATTGAGGGATCAAATGAGATTATTTTATTAATTTAATATATCACTTCACTCTAATGACAATTAAAGTTGTTCTATCTATTTTATAAAAAAATAAAGTTCAATATCTATTATATAACTTTTGAAAGTTTAATATCTAAAAAAATTAATTTAACATAATTTAGTGACTATTTAAAGATTTTATCCTACGAAATTAGTGGACTAATCATGAAGCGGGGTTTGAGTTTTTTAACATTTACTTAATAAGGAGAATTTAATTAATGGTATTTTTGGTATGTTACATTAATGACATATTTCGGTATGCAACGTAGACTCATTCATCTATGTTATAATGATTTTGGAAAATCCATATATTTTGCTGTTCTTTACACTAAGAACAATAAACCATTTTCACACCTATTTCAAAATGAATCACTACTTACAATTTACTCCTTTTCTCCTCCCTTTCTATTCTCTTGATTCTTTTTATCTTTATTTAAACAATAAAACATAAAAAAAATTATTCGCAATATCTTTCCTTGCAGATTTAGACCTTAAGCTGTAAACCAAACCTGAAATTCCTGCAGATATAGTCACCATCCACCAATGAGTCCAACTGCAAAAGCCAGCATGAAAGAAAAAAATACCCTTTGAGTTGGTTTACTGGATAGGGATGCACCTGCATCCACTTGGTTCGAAAAAATGGGGCAACTTACTTGGATCCGCACTGCTTTTCAGTGGATTCCTTAAGTGATTCAGAAACAAAGCTACGTTAAACAGACTGATCATTAGTCGAGTCGGAACCATCCTGCGACTCTGCATCGCCATCTATGAAGCATGTCAAATAAAGTGGCAGTGAGGTATGTTTACTTGTATGGAAAAAGAATGACCTCCGATATATGCAGTATAGTTAGGGAAAAGGATTGCCAGAGTACCGAAAAGCGTCTTCACTGACGGCCTCTTTGGTTGGGCGCCCTTCTTCTTCTTCAACTCAGCTACAAAGAGAAAGCAAATGTCATGTTAATTTCCATAGTAGAAAACTTGGCGTACTTTCGAGTTGGTTTGTGTTGGTCATTTGAAAGATTGACCCCAAATGAAACTGTATGGATACTATGTTGCTGTGACAATTCCATATTTCTTTAGGTATTCGGATTGACACTCATGTCATACACATAACCATGGATATTAGACAGCGAACGAGTCTTAGTAACATCCATAAGAAAATGATTGCATTCACATTACCCTGGATCTATTGTGGTAACCATTAAATTCAGTGACGGGGGAAATCTTTAGTTAGAATTACTAAAACAACTATATCATCAGAATAAACAAGTTAAGACGCATTATTCAGACAACCGGATTTCATACAAAGTATTAATAATCATAAGCTTTAGCATCTTGAAATATGCATTGTTGCACATGATTCTGAAACCAATACCATGCTTGCCTACATACATAATTCGATAAATAAAGCGGAGAAAGAAGAATACCCATCCCAGGTACTTGACAATCATTGACAATTTCAAAATTTTTGTATGTGTATCCCACAAAGTTGAGGTCCTTTGAGGAAAGCATCTGCAAAGTAGATGGATAATCAATGAAAAATGGTTGTCATGAATTGCTGAGCCATGTCAGGATTAGAGAGATGAAAATCATGAAATGAATTTTCATGAAAACTCTCGAACTATAATGAAAATAACTCTGACACTCAAACAACACACACACCAAATTAAAAGAATCTTAATATGTTCTATCAGAAAAAAGAATCTTAGAATCAATAAATGGTAAGAGAGAAAAAAGAAAGCAATAAATTTGTCATTAGCTCACACAGACTGAAATGTAAAGGATAAATGACAAAGATGCTAATACAAAATATACTTAAAACTTACTTTCCTCCATGGGCCAGATTTTGATGACGGTTTTCGATCTGGAGTATCATCAGACTGCATGGCGAAAAATAAGCAAACATCATGGATGACATTAAAGTCGCAACACAAACAGCAACATGGGTCCAAAATTTAAGGGATACAAGTACCTCATCAAACTTTTCAAAATTTTGAGTATCTAATTCATCATTAACCTCAGGAATAAATGCAGCATCCATTTGATATATCCTATCCCAGTCTACACCTTGAAACCATGGATGAGCCTAGAGAAGTAAAATGAAGCAAGATAATCTCCTTCATTCAGAAGCAAGTTTTAAGGAACAGATTCAAGAATCTAGAATAGACAGGATACATAAAACAACACCTTAATTTCACCTGCCCCATTCGATCCTAATCTTTGATTGACATTACACAATAGTTTGCTAATCAGATCTTTTGCATCTGGAGATAACATGGCTTCTTCAGGAAACTTCAAATGATTTTTCCAGTTTACAATCTGTGAAAGGAATAAAAATGTAATATTATTAGAAAAATGAAACTTTTTTAAATTCTCCTTTTTCTTCATAAATTCATAGGAAAAAAACTAAGAAAAATAAACAAATGCTTTTATCACTGGATTATGATTTCTTTTCATGTTTCAGCCTCAGCATAACCAGGACCAAATAAATGTTCCTCAAATTTAAGTAGCAGAAATTGGAAACAGAGATAACACGAGCCAGAGCCAGAATCGGAACCAGATGAAGTAACAAATCGAACAAGGAAAAAGCACATAACATTAATTAGTGATATTCTCAGGTTACCTTTCTACAAGTTGCCATTGGATCATCTGAATAAAAAGGTGGATATCCCACAAGCATTTCAAACATAATGGCACCAAGTGACCACCTGTGCAAAATAACTTTCATCCGTCACAACTCACAACAGTCCATAAGATTGCCGGAGCAAGAAACTAAGGCATTATAGACATTGTCGGTAGACAACACTTCATTTTACTGTGTTATGGACAGATGGATGTTAACCTTTCAGAAAGGAGTCATCATCCTAGCCTGAAACTAAACATAATCAATTAAGTTTCTAAATTAAACAGCTATTATTTAAATAGCAGTGTCAAACAAACCCAAACGGATATTGGAATGTGAAACAAAATGGAATTTTACTTCGAAATGATAGCTACTAACCAATCACATTCCATTCCATAACCCTTCTTCAAGAGGACTTCTGGAGCAATATAGTCGGGAGTTCCAACAGTAGAAAAGGCCTGCAAATTCAAGAATTGGACCCAAAAAACATGAATCATCTAACAGCCACTGCTGATTTCTAAGTCTAAAAGACCAAAACAAAGGGTCAGGGTCTTCATTCAGTGATTCCATGAGTGAAAAGATGCATAGATTAGACTATGTTTAATACACCAGATAAAAGTAACATAGCTCAGAGCACCAATGTATATAACTTACAAGCATTCTTCGATTCTTTTGCCAATGCTCTAGTTGCTCTTGCTGTGTTCGTTTTGAAGCTCCTGAGCGTTCTTCAGATTCAGAAATCTCACTAGCGCTGCCTCCTGAAAAATCCTGTTCCTCGAGAGTACTGCAATCCAAAGGTTTACATAGTCCAAAATCTGACAATCTCAAGTGTCCATATCTATCCAGAAGCAAGTTGTCAGGCTTGATATCCCTGCAGCATTTAGACTCCAAAGGTTAACCTTTCGCAAGAGAAATCATCTAGACTGTTCGATTTATCTATAGACTAACCTATGAATATAATTGTGCACATGGATAGACTCGATAGCCAAAACTGTTTCTGCAACATAGAATCTAGCCTCGTCATCAGTCAATATATCCTTTCTCATAAGTAACGTCATCATATCTCCACCAGGTAGATATTCCATTATAAGATAAAGGAACTCATCATCCTGGAAAGAAAAGTAGAGCTTGACAATACAATTGCTGTCAACTTCAGCAAGCAGGTTCCTTTCAGCTTTCACATGCTCAACCTGAAATACGATTGAAACCACCCAAATGAGTAGTATACATAACCACGACACCACCATTTGGCCAGAATAAATAATACCTGGCCTCTTCGAAGCATTTCTGATTTCGTAAGCTTCTTCATGGCATATACTTGGCCTGATGTCTTTTCCCTACAAATTCTAACCTGCACCAAAAAATAAAATAAAAAGAAGAAATCAAAAGGTTAGTTTTAATCAGACAACAAGGAAACTGAGTAGTCTATAGAATTAGTGCTCCTTGCACAAGGACAAAGTAGATGATGATCTATTAGAGTTGACATTATATAGAAGTGTACCTCTCCAAACGCACCCTTGCCAATTATAGTTAATAATTCAAAGTCATCAACACCCATTTTATGCCTCTGAAGGCGCATGTACTCAGTTTCCTTTTTCTCCAAGAACTTCAGTAAGTTGTTTTGATCTTCTTCAGAGACATCAGCATCCGCCAACTTCTTTTCCAGGACCATTCGTCTATTAATTAGAATATGAGTTTCTTTAATATAGAAGATAATAATCTACTAAAATTTGAAAAATATTATAACAAAATACACAATGTCATAATATCTGTATAAAATCTGCAATAAATTTTTATCTGTCCTGAAAGGCTGAAATCAGTTCGCCAAACAAATATTCCAAATATCATAAGAATTTTGTGATAAAATTATTAGATCAATTAAAAAGATGATAAGATGTCAAAATATGTTTATAACCGATTGAGATGGTGATAATGTAACCACGAATGCAATTTAAATTTCTAGTCTCTACTAATAACAATAATTTACTCGGATTTCACAATATATTTGCGAATTATATAAGAAAACGGAAGATACTCTAGGCAAAATTAAGCATAAGATTAGGAAGCCGTACCGCTCTTTTCTGTCTTGGAGATTCTTCATTTGCTCCTTGTAATGATTCTCAATGTACTGCTTGGCAGCGGAAACTTTTTGTTTGGTGACATTGGAGAGAGCTTCTTCGTCCAACTCGGCACCTTGATTCCCCTCCTCCTCCTCCTCCTCCTCCTCCGCCGCCTCCACTGCCGGACTTCTTCTTAGACGAAGACTTATTCTTATCCCTTGGCTGTAACTTCGAAAGCCAACTCCTCGACGTATTTCCTTTTCCTTTTCCATTTTATCTAATCAAAAATCAAATTTCAAACCTCAATCAAATTCCCCCCGCAGTCTGCATTTCAATACTAAATAGGAAATTGACCAAAAAAAAGGAAAAAATAAACGCAATTGGAAAATTTTAAGGGAAAAATAAACAGATATCTGAACTTTTTGAAATGATGAGAAAATGGAAAAGTAAAGCCAGCAAAAGAAATTCATGCTACTGCGTGGTTTTCGTTAAGACAATATGATCCGCGAAAAGCTCTCCCAGCAATTTCGAATCGTTTTCCTTTCAAATATTTTGGGTCAAATACAAAAGTAGTCATTTATCGTTATAGGGTGCCTTTTGTTAAGTCTCCGATTATGAAAATTTACAAATAGCCATCTATTTTAAAAAAATAATAAATTAGTCTTCTTCCATTAATTTTTTAACTGGATATGCCGTAAAAATTATTAAATTTTTTAGATTTTATTTAAATCTTTTAATTTTAAAAAATTAATTTTAATTTTTAATATCCTACTAATTTAATCCTTAAAGGATATTATAGAGATATATTATGTGGTGATCATTTTGATATAATTTATTTCATTTTTTATATTAAGATTTGGACTTCCGAATTTATTTACAAAATCTAATACATCATCTTATTAAATCAAATGATTAATGATAATAATCTATCACACTTTAAAAATAGAATTTCTTCATGATTTACTCCTTTTACTTTGTACGTTACCACCATAAAAATGGAAAAGCACTACAAAAATTTTATTAAGCTAATATGATTATTGTGGACATTCATTTTCGTCCAGATTTTTTTATTTTTTATTTATTTTATATATATATATATATATATATATTTGTAAATGATTTTTAAAATTTATATATAATATATAGTTTTGAAAACAATTTTTGAAAATGTATATATTATATAGTTTTGAAAATCATTTTGAAAACTTATATAATATATGGTTTTTTAAAAACATTTTGAAAATATATATAATATATAGTTTTTAAAACATTTTGAAAACTTATATAATATATAGTTTTTAAAAATTTTGAATATATATATATATATATATATTATATAATTTTCAAAAACATTTTGAAAACTATATAATATATAGTTTTGAAAACTTTTTAAAATTTTAGATAATAGATAGTTTTACTTTTTGATTATTATTATTATTATTATTTATTTTATTTATTTTATTAATTTATTTTATTTTATTGTGGTCCAGGTCCAATAATGAGTCAATATTCTGGTCTAACAGGAAATCCAACCGGGTCAGCCTAATCCAGTAGACCCGGATTGGGAGGGCCTGACCCAACCCAAAATCCCGAACTATGGTTACACGTTTTAGCAGGGGCGTCGCCAGAAGAGGAATCTCCATGTGCCAACAGGTTGGCCGAAATGTCGGCCAAAAACCCAGGACTAAACCATCCTGGGGTTCTCGATCAACCCACAACCGTACATCCCGTCCCGTTCGGGACCCAAAACAGCCAAAACCGAGGCTATAAAAAGCCCTCGGTGAGGCCAAACGGAGGACATCAACAACGATCAGGCAACCAACAGAGGAAAACAGAACCAAACAAACCAATATCGCAAACAACACAACACCACAACAACCACACTATAGAGTCATCAAGCAAAAAACCCCGAAAAATCTAATAGAAACATAGACAAAAACCAAGCAAAAATCGAAAAGCATTCGAATATTCCTGAAAGGATATCACAAAAAGCCAGGAGCTTTCGAAGAACAGTCGCCGAAAATCGAAAGGGTCATTGGAAGCATCGAGTTTTCGAAGGTAAATGTCTAGATCTAAAACGTTTGGGTAAGATTTAGGTTAAGTGATGTTTAGATTCAGCTTTAGGGGAGTCCGATGATTATTTTGGGGTGTTTTTAAGTCATCGGCCTTCGCCGGCGGTAACCAAAATTACCAGTGTATGACGGCCGACATCTCTCTGGCGAAGGAGTTTAGAGAGAGAAGAAAAAATAGGAAAATGAAGGGGAATGGCCATTTAGGGCCGGATTTGGGGTATTTATATCCCTCCCCAAACGATGCCGTTTTGGGGAGGGACCTTCTGTGTATTTTCACTCATGGGTAAATTATGTTTTAGGTCCTATATCTTTGAAAGTTTATATTTCAACCACTTAATGAACTTTTACCTTATTTTATTTTGAGCATTAATGTTTCATTACTTATATTTTAGTCATGTTTTCTACTTGTTATGTGATTAATGTGAATATTTGATTTTAAATTTTTGGCCACGATATTTATAAATGTTATAATTTGGTCACTGATTTAGTGTTTTATATATTTTTGTGGATGTTCAAATTTGGGCTATGACATTTGTAAATATATCATTTTAGCCACTGTTATTTTAATTTTTTTTCATTTTGATATTTTTATGTATTTATTTTTCGGTGTTTTTTTTGTTAATATTTATTTTCTTAACATTTTCTATTTTTATTTTTTATTTCAAAATTTGACCTTTTTTATTTTTTATTTTATTTCGTTTTTATTATTTTATTATTTTTCTTTTTACTAAATTTTATTTATTTTATTATTATTATATTAATATGTTTTCTTTTTTTCATATTTATTTTTATTTTTCAATCTAACAATATTCTTGACTTTTTAGGGAAATTTTTAATCAATCGAATGTAAGTAATTAAAATCGGGTTTTAAATTTTAATTTTCGCAATTAAGACAACCGACAAATTAATTGGTACCCAAAGGGCAGTACAAGGGTGCTAATCCTTCCTTGACTGTAACCGACTCCCGAACCCAACACATTTCTGGTAAAATGCAGATCAGGTAAGATGGTGTTCGATCAGCCCAAATATTTTTTTAAATAATTGGTGGCGACTCTAACCCACTTATTCAAATCGAAGTCCAATTTCGGACCCAAACGAAAGACTGTCGCGACAATTACAAGTAGTATTTGTTATAAATATATTTTCAATCTCTCTGTTGTAATCGCTGTGCTAGAACCTATAATCTTTAGAAATAACAACAATTCCTTTAACCATTGAGATTAGCTTGTGAAAAGAATAGTACTAGAAAAATGTCCTTTAAAACAGAAGATAAGTAATTTGAGGGGAGATGACATTAGCAGTAGTAGGACTTCAAACGAAGAAATAAGAGAAAAAGAAGTCAGGAAATTGAAGAAATAACATGACTCTCCTAATATGATTGATAAGTTTATTATTAATTTTATCTTCGTTTAAAATTTAATCCTTCGATTTTGTTTTTTATTTGTTTCGTCTTCGGTGTTTTGTATCACCAAATTCGAAGTTTTTAAAAATATTATTTCTTGATAAGAGGATTATATATTCTATAAGTTTCTTCCGTCTCATGTATAGTTATTGTTGACTTCAGTTTTATTACCGTTTAACTTGTTTTGCAAAATTTACTCCTAATTTTTATTACTTTTATTTTAGTTTCTACTCATGAGTTTAGAGTAAATTTACAAACTCATCGATCGATATTTGATACAAATGTTTAACTCTTCAACTGCAATGATCACGTAGTTAAATTTTCATGTCAGTCATCGTAAAATTCTTTCTATCACTCCAATCTCATTGAGAGTTTTATTATTTTTCTTTATTTCGTTTACTATGACTTTCACAAGACTAACGTAATCATTGATGTTTTCTCTGTGTGTTTGTGTTTTTTTAATATTTCAAATTTAATTATAAGTAATTTTTAATGTGTCTTTTTAGCTTTTTGGCACATTGAAATAATTTTTATAGAATCTTTAGTATGAATCTAGTACGAACCAAGTGCGGTAAAGGAATTGTTTTTATAGAATCTTTGCTTCCAAATTTTTAATAGATAATTTTAAATTTGTCTACTCCTTGAAAATTAAAACAATGTCACCCTATTGTCTTTATTGCGAGATTCATTCAGTGTTAATGTCCAGTTCAGATCGTAATCAAATTTTTAACAAAAAATGATAAGTTTGAACATATGAAGAGTCATGCAACTACTTTGTAACTTTCAATAATCAGAGGACTCGACAAAATAACACCTTATAATCAAATGAGTACTTTATAACTTTTAGAAGTTGAGGACTCAACAAAGTAACGTATTATAGTTGGGATCATCTATGTGTTTTACCCTTTTTTTATAAATTTTATGTAAAAAAATATTTAAAATAAAATTAACATTTTTTAATATTGACACAACTTTAAAAATAATTAGTATCTCTTAAAATAAACTAACACTGCACAATTGAGTTCAATTAATTCCTACTTTATCATTTTTGACAGATCCAATGTAACATATGGAAACCTTGCATGATTTAATTTTCGAAAATATTTACTTTTCAATTTACATATAACCTCCACTATTACTTTATTGGTCTCAAAATTGGTACCATCTGAACAAATACTTGTGTGGATCATGGACCAAGATACCTTTATTTGACACCCAAATTTTTTTTATTTAGAAAAACACCTTTCTTGATATTTTATATAAAAATATTAAAAACGTTGGCATTATTTTAAAAAATATCAACACCCAACAAACAATCAATTGATATAATGAGATAAAATACTAATCTTTTAAGTAAGATTAAGAGTTCGAGATATTGACATTTGCAAAACCAGGGAAGGGAGCTTGGAATAACATCATAACATTTAGGATTGCAGACAAAACATAAGAATCCCAAGGGAAAAATAGAATGAATTTAAAAAAGCACGAGTCTAGCATGAACCAAGTGTGGTAAAGGAATTGTTGTTATTCTTTGAGGACTCGGATTCGAGCACCGAGAATGCCAAGTATAATCTTTCAATATCAAAGGTTGAGAGATATCTTTAAATAGATATTCCTGTAATGAAATTTAAAAAAACTGTGACACTTGACAGTACTAAATCAAAACATCCATAGCTTCCCGCCCCTTGGAAGGATTTTTGGGCAGGTCAATAACAAACAGAAAATAAGTAGTATGAAAACCAAAATGAGAATCTCACAAATCACAACTATCAAAATGCAAGTGATCTTTAGTTTTTGGCTTCAATTGATTAGCCCGAGCTACCAAGTAGCGTCACCAAATCACCCTTTTTCATTTTGGAAAACCCTTTAACCCACGAGATTTTGCGAGTGCCCTCAGTTCTGGCAGCTTCAATGCACTTAAATCCTCATGTTCACTCCGTTCTCTGTCTTCCTCATCAACATCAGAAGATTCATCCTCTATAAAATCATCCGATATATTCTTGATAGATTGA